TTGTACACAGATAATTACATTTTGTATTGGTATTGTAAAAATCACCTATAAAGGTATTTAAACAAATTTAAAAATTTAAATTCAACTGAAGATGGCTAGTGATAGTCTAAACATGTATTGTTTAAAATTAATAAAATGGTTTTATTAATTAAAAAGTTTGTCTTGTTTATTAATATATATATATATATATATATATATATATATATATATATATATATATATATATATATATATATATATATATATATATATATATATATATATATATATATATATATATATATATATATATATATATATATATATATATATATATATATATATATATATATATATATATATACATATATATATATATATATATATATATATATATATATATATATATATATATATATATATATATATATATATATATATATATATATATATATATATATATATACATATATATATATATATATATATATATATATATATATATATATACATATATATAAATATAAATACATACATACATACATACATACATACATACATACATACATACATATACATAGTGTTGCAAAAAAATGCGTTTTTTTGCTGTCGCGTTTTTTTCACCCAAAAAAATGTTTTTTTGGTTTTTTTGGCGTTTTTTTGGTTTTTTTGGCGTTTATTTGGTTTGGGTGTAGGTTTTTTTGGATTTTTTTTAAACTGTTATGGTATATTTGTTTACTTATTTTGTGTAAACAGAGTGTTTAGCCAAAGTGGTATAAAAATATTTATCTTTTTGATTAGGAAACAGTTATTTATTTTTTAAAAAAATTTTAAGATTTTTACCTCAAAAAAATTGTTCATTTTCCTTATATTAAACATGAAAATGATTACCTTTTTTTATTTTGCAAAGCAGTGTTTCATATAATAAATATATTTCTTTCATATAATAAAAATATTTATTTAGATTATTCTGATTCATTCCATTAAATAATACATTTATTATTATTCAAAAAAAAATTATGGGTTAATGAAAAATTTAACGAACATAAGTTGAAGAAGTTAAAAAAGTTGAAATATAATTTTGTAATTTTAAAACCAGTGACAGATCCACGGGAAATGAGAGGTATGAACCTACCACCCCGCACCAGAATCCATAAATTTATAAAATATCTTTAAATTTTTAAAATTTTTTTTAGTAGGCAAAAATGTGATACAAAATAAACTAAATTTTTAACAAGCCCCGATTCCCCCTCACACCCACACCAAAAATTCCCAGATCTGACTTATTTTGCGATGCAGTGTTACTTCATTCATATAATAAATTCTTAAAACAGCTCAATATTAAAAAAGATGCAATTCATGGCCTTTACTTATAAAAATTTACTTCTTAGTCTTTACTTATAAGAATTATTATTAAAAATTATTTAAAAAAAAAAAATGTTTTTCTAATTAATGCTGCTTTTTCAAATTTTTTTTTTTTTTTGAATAATTGAACAATTGCTAAACTAAGACAATACTAAAAATATGGTAAATGGAAGTATTAAAACAAGTATTTAATAAATATCACCAAAAATAAATTTTAAAACCATTTCAGTGTTTAAAATGCAAAAAGAGTAGTTTTTAAGGCAAAAACGCAAAAAAACCAAAAAACGAAGTCCTCGTTTTTTTTGGCAAAAAAACAAGAACCAAAAAAACGACTTACATCTCTATATATACATATATATATATATATATATATATATATATATATATATATATATATATATATATATATATATATATATATATATATATATATATATATATATATATATATATATATATATATATATATATATATATATATATATATATATATATATATATATATATATATATACCTATATAGTGTAGCTTTAAGAGCATTTTAATGTAAAAAAAGTCTCTTACGACTACAATTTTAATTACCTCGTCTCTTAAGCTGTTTTTGATTGTCATCGAAATGTCAAAGCAATTAATTTATGCGGAAGTACATTAAATTTAATTGTTTTTTAAAAAATTTTTAAAAAACCGCAATTATAACGACTAGAAAGTTTTTTTTAATTAGTGGTATTTTTGTTATTGATTTAATAAAAAACATTTTTTAAACATGCGTAAATGTTGCTACATCGACTATCTTATAGCCTGACTCGCAACGGAGTGCTGCTACATCGACTGACAAATAGCCTGACTCGCAACGGAGTGCTGCTACATCGACTGACAAATAGCCTGACTCGCAACGGAGTGCTGCTACATCGACTGACAAATAGCCTGACTCGCAAGAGAATGCTGCTACATCGACTGACAAATAGCCTGACTCGCAAGAGAGTGCTGCTACATCGACTGAGGGTTTGGTTTGGCCAGGCAGTCTATCAATTAAAAAAAAAAATTTAATTTTTAAAACTTTTTCTGGTCTGGTTTATTAACGCGCTCTTTAAAACTACAGTTTATGGGAAATATTTTTTGATGCCACGCAAAAGACATGCAAGAGTATATATATATATATATATATATATATATATATATATATATATATATATATATACATACATACATACATACATACATACATACATACATACATACATACATATATTGTATATCAGGCAACCAATGAAATTTGTGTGGCTTTTATTTATTCTCTACTTCTATAAATTGTATTCATTAAACAAGTAATATAAATTGAAGCTTATTTTAAGAGATCATTCTGTGTGTTTGATAAATTTTTTTACTTCAAATGAAAGTGTAAACTTTTAAGTAGAGTATGCTTCAGCCGTTTTTTAAAATGCCTTATATGCTTATTCTTTATTTGAGAGTGCAATTTGAAAAATATATATTGGAGAAACTCTTTGTAAAACACTATTTGAAACTAATTATTTTTATGAATTTTTTCATAACTCTTAGAAAATTTTTTTTTTTTTTTTTTTTTTATTCAGCAACGTACTTAAGCATTAAAATTAGTTTATTTTGTAAAAAAGTCAAATTTGAATTTTTTAAACTTAAGGCGTTTTGAAAAAGGGGTGCAATATGGCCATCTTAAATAAAATAATTCATGCTTATTTACTTTATAAATTTAAACTTGGTATGTACACTACAGAAGCTTGATGTAAGATATGCGCTGCTTTTGGTGAAGGTACTGTAGGTAAACAGGTGGGTTCTAGATATAAAAAATCTGGAAGACGAACCTTGCTACGGAAGACTATCAACAATCAACAATGTCAATATCAAGCTGGCAATTATTAGGAATCAAATTTTTGGCCTTGGGCAATCATATTCGGAATTTGCGATTTCAAAATAATGAGGTCTAAAAAATAAGGTGATACACTTTTTTAATTCTCAAAAGCAAGATTTCTTCAAAAAGGGATGTATGATCTTGTGTATAGATAGGAAAAGGTAAGACTTTTTTTTTTTTAATATCTCACTTTTAACAAGGCTGCAAGCAACCACTAATTAGAGTTGGAAGTTACTGGAAGAGAAAAGATAAAGATTGTAGAGCAAGATAATAATTGACAGACGACTTAAAGGGTTGCAAATTATATGAATCAGGAAAGCAAGATAAAGGAAGCGAATTCCAAAAAACTGATGTTCGAGGAAAAAAACTAGAGAGGAATAAGAATTTTTGGAGCACTTTGGAACAGTCACAGAAAAAGGATGAGATTTAATTGAATGACGAGTAACATGAGAATGAATTTTAGTAGATTGCACAACTAGCTCTTTAGATGACGCTAGCTCTTTAGAGCAGTGCTAATTATAGTATTTGTAGAAAAGAGAAAGAGAAGCGACATTACAACGATGTGATGATATGATGTTTGAAGGTTGGCTGCAAGAGCAGGTCTGACTATGTTTACAATGCCTTTTTGCACCTTGTCTAAAAGAGAAAGGGCATCATTACCAGATACGGCAACAGTATCCCATACAAGAATAATTGAGATAAACATTAGAATCTGGAGTAAGAAAGTGTCGAGCTCGATAAAGAGATGCAACCTTAGTAGATGCTAATTTTGCAACAGATTTGATATATGGTTTTTAAGTAAAATCGAAGTAAGAGTCGATCCTGAAGATGAAGGGTAGACAACTCATCGAGTACATTACCATTCATAATTATAGGAAGATCTAAATTATTGCGATAACGATTAGTTGAGTTTTATCTTAATTGTAGTTTACCAGCATCTGTGAACCCCATGCTGTAGCAGAAATGAGATCCTTTTCATGCTCAAATGTCCCCTCTAAGCAATCAGAGAGTGTTGGCCTCTGGTCATGGCAAGAATAAATGGTAGTACCATCAGCGAACAATGCCACTTTAGATGTAAAAATTTCTGGAAGATCGTTAATGTAAAAAAGCTTATGTAGAAAACCAGCATGCCAAACTTTATCAAAAGCTTTAGAAATGTCAAGAGCGATAGCCTTAACCTCTCCACCTTTATCTAATGAATATAAAAACCTATCGGTTATTACTGTTAATAAATCAGCTGTAGAACTAGAAGATCGTATGATATGATAGGAAGAAGAAATATAAAATATAAAATATATAAATAAAAAAAAAAAAATATATATATATATATACACATATATATATATATTTTTATATATATATATTTATATATATACACATATACATATACACATATACATATACACATATACATATATACATACATATATATATACATATATATACAGATATATACATATATATATACATATATATATATATATATATATATATATAATATATATATATATATATATATATATATATATGTATATATATATATATGTATATATATATATATATGTATATATGTATATATATATATATATATATGTATATATATTTATATATTTATATATATATATACACAGATTTCTGATGAATCTTTATTTATGAAACACAGTGTTAAATGGAAAATTTTTTTTGTTAAGTGATATAATACTAATATATATAATATATATATATATATATATATATATATATATATATATATATATATATATATATTATA